CCCCAAAACCCCAAAACCCCAAAACCCCAAAACCCCAAAACCCCAAAACCCCGAAATTTTAATACATTATTGAAATAAATGATCCACAAATTGCACAGAAGATCATATCCGTTGCTTAGGCCATGCCGAAGATGGATATATACCAACTTTTATCCTGGTAGTAGGTTTGCAAGAGTTGAAGCATCTCCGAATTTTCCAAAGTCTGAAGAGAAAGTGCTTAAATATTGGGATAAAATTAATGCTTTTGAAAAACAGCTGGAGATCACTAAGGATTTACCTCCATTTACGTTCAATGACGGACCTCCTTTTGCCACAGGGCTTCCACACTATGGACACTTGGCAGTAGGAGCCATTAAGGATACAGTTTGCCGTTACGCTGTTCAGAATGGCCACTACGTTGAGCGAAGATTCGGATGGGACTGCCACGGTTTGCCCATAGAGTATGAAATTGATAAATAAACTTGGGATCCAGACTAAACAAGATTATCAAAAGATTGGTCTTAAAGAATACAATAACCAATGCAGAGATATCGTCATGAGGTATTCAGCACAATGGGAAACTATAGTCAAAAGATTCGGTAGATGGATCGATTTCAAGAATGATTACAAAACGATGGACACAAGTTACATGGAATCTGTGTGGTATGTCTTCAAGCAGATGTATGATAAAGGCCTTGTGTATAAAGGATCTAAGGTCATGCCATATTCAACCAAATGAAATACAGTCCTTTCTAATTTTGAGGCTGGGTCGAATTATAAGAAAATTAGAGATCCAAGTATCTTGATTACTTTCCCAGTTCTTTCTCAAGAAAATACGTCATTTTTAGCTTGGACTACAACTCCTTGGACTCTTCCAAGTAACCTAGCCCTTGCTGTAAATCCTGAAATGGAGTATATCACCTTCGTACACCCAGAGACTGGGCATAACTATATTATTGCAAAGAATCGGATGAAGGAGGTGTTCAAACTCCTTGGGCTTGAAAAATCCAAGAAGGCTAAGAAGACAAAAGACCTCAAAATTATATCTAAAGTTAAAGGATCTGAACTAATTGGTCAGCATTATGAACCCCTATTTAATTATTTCAGCCAGGAAATGGAATCTTCCTCAGCATTCAAAGTCATTTCAGGAGATTTTGTCACTGACCAAGATGGTACAGGGATTGTTCATTGAGCCCCTGGGTTTGGAGAAGATGATTTCCATGCTTGTGTCCGGGAAGGGATTATTTCCCCAGGGTCGCCACCTTGTCCGATAGATGATAGCGGTAATTTCACTAAAGAAGTACATGATTTCGAAGGAATCAACTTCAAAGAAGCTGATAAAGGGATTAAAAAGGTACTAAAAGAGAGAGGAAGGCTGGTCTATGAAGGAGTATACGATCATAATTATCCTTTCTGCTGGAGATCAGACACTCCTTTAATGTACAGAGCTGTGAACTCCTGGTTCATCATGGTCACTGATATGAAAGATGACTTAGTCAAAAATAACTTGAAAGCTACTTGGGTACCAGAATTTGTTCAGAAAAATAGATTTCACAACTGGTTAGCTGATGCAAAGGATTGGTGATTTTCAAGAAACAGACTTTGGGGAAACCCAATTCCTCTCTGGGTTTCTGAAGATGGAGAAGAGGTAATCTGAGTAGGCTCCATAGAAGAACTCAGAGAACTATCTGGAAGAAATGATATCACTGATTTACACAGAGATTATATTGATGACATTACCATTCCTTCACAACAAGGAAAAGGAGAATTGAGAAGAATTGAGGAAGTATTTGATTGCTGGTTTGAAAGTGGCTCAATGCCTTTTGCACAACAGCATTATCCCTTCTCCATCACTGATGAGGAATTCAATAAAATATATCCTGCTGATTTCATTGCAGAAGGATTGGATCAGACTAGAGGATGGTTCTATACCCTAAATGTCATTTCTACAGCTCTGAGAAATAGCAATCCTTACAAGAACCTTATAGTAAATGGATTGATCCTAGCAGAAGATGGTGCTAAAATGTCAAAGAGTAAGAACAACTTTCCAGATCCAATGAAGATGGTGGACGAATATTCAGCAGATTCCGTCAAGCTTTATATGCTTAACTCTCCTGTCGTCAGATCAGAGCCATTAAAGTTTTCGACTGAAGGTGTTAAAGGAGTTGTGAGAAGTGTGCTCCTACCTTGGTACAACTCTTACAGATTTTTGATTCAAAATATCCACAGATGGGAAACCAAATCAGGCCAGAAATTCCAATTTTCCTCTGACTTTAAAAGTTCTCAGGATTATGGACTATTTGATCAATGGATTCTCGGGAGGAAGGAGCATTTGAAGGAACTTTTTAGAGAAGAAATGGATGCTTATAAACTAGATAAAGTAATCAGACATTTACTTTCTTTCATGGAAGATCTCACTAATTGGTATATAAGATTAAGCAGAGGCAAAATGAAGGGCCAAGAAGGGATAGAATCAATGCATCAATCCCTTCATGTTCTATATGAAGTATTATTTTCTACGACAGTAATGATGTCATGTTTCACTCCGTTCATTTCAGAGCTGCTTTATCTAAACCTTCGGAATGGGCTTGATAAGAACCACGAGGATTATCAAGACAGTATCCATTTCTTAAGGCTCCCAAAGGCTTCAGGAGGTCAATATGATGAGGAAATATTTCCTCTGGTTGACCACATGAAGAAGATTGTAGAGCTTGTGCGTAAAATCAGGGATATTGAATGTGTCCCAATGAGAAGACCTGTAAGAAAAGTGACAATAATTCATAAAAATCCTGAGATAGCTGAATCATACAATATTTTTAGCAATCACTACCATACAGAGATGAATGCTCTAAGTATTGATCAATCAGGTGAGGTTGAAAAGTACTTCAAGTATGATATCAACTTCAACCACAGATCTCTAGGTCAGAGGCTTGGAAGAGGCTATACTAAGGAGCTTAGAGATGGAATCATGAGCATGACTAATGATGATATCAATACTCTACTCAATTCACAAGAAATTAATATCAATGGTATTGTAATCTACCCTGAAGATGTAAGTCTTCACAAGATCTTCCGCTCAGATCTAGTTTCTAAGGAAGGAATCAAGGGGATCACTGATGAAGAATATGCCATTTTGGTTGATTTCACAGAAGATGAGAAGATTAGGCAATCTTTTGTGGCTAGAGAATTCATCAATAAGATTCAAAAATTTAAGAAAGATTTGAACATCAACATTGACGATGATATTGAGATCTATTATTCGACTGAATCTGAAAACTTGTTAGGCACCTTCCAGACACAGAAGAAAAATATTGAGGAGAATGTCTTTAAGAAAGTTCTGCTCTTGGAAGACCAAAGTTACATTGAGCAGCTTGAGCATAACAAAATAGAAATTGAAGGCGAGGAGGTTAATATTTACATAAGAAGAAAATAATAAATTTCAATATTCTGGAAGGTTGAAGGGGTTTTGGGGTTTTGGGGTTTTGGGG